GTTGCCCATGGCTGGAATGCCCGACTAGAGCCACACGGCATGGGAGACGTTGGTGTTGAATTGTAGCAATACACAGGTGTTGGTGTTGCCCCCCCACCCTCAGGTCAAGGCATGCCTGGTGTTGCGCAGTGTCTTGGAGTCGTGGTTGTGGCGCAGACAGTTGTAATGCACCTGCATGCACGCATACACATGTTCACATATGAATGCACACACACATGCATACGCACACGCATACGCACGTGCGCAGGCACGCGCGCGCGCACACACACACACACAGAAACAAACCAGGTAACCACATATCAACACACACACAAGTCACAGAGCACAAACTTAACGCAGAGTGCCAGTGCACGAAAGCGGCTCTTTCAATACGCACCCACAAACCAACCCAGGACTCTCCGAACATACCCATCACCGCCCTCCCTCTCTCCATCCCCTCGCTCCCTCCACCTCCCACTCGGCCCATCTCTCCATGCGCCCAGCTCAGCAGCCCAACCCACCCGCCCAGCTTTCAGCGCAACTCAGCCAGCCCAGGTGTGAGCGCAACAAGAGCTTACGAGGCCAGTGGCGTAGGACTTGTACCCGCCGTCCATGCTCACGTAGTTCACATTCGCATACACCACCAGATCCGCCTCTGCAAAGTGCCGGTTGATCTGCCATGCCACGTCATTCCGCCGTGCCGCCGTGCCATGCCACAGCACAGCACAGCGCAGCACAGCACAGCACAGCACAGCACAGCGCAGCACAGCACAGCACAGCACAGCGCAGGGGTGGGGACAAAGAGAAGAGTGCGGCAACAGCAGCGGATGGATAACAAGTACTGACGAGAACGCTGCATAAACTGCTGTGGGCCTGTGGCCATGGAAATGCAAGCTTCGCAGCCCACAACACCGACCCTTCACACCATCCCTCCACTCTCCCACCTCCCGCACACCACCCCCTCCCTCTACCCCCCCATCTCCCCTCACCTGAACAGCCTCCCCGTGTGGTGTCACACCGATGTCCACAGTCTCGTGCATATCCACGGCATTGTAATTCCTCTTTTGACACGTCTAAAAACTTTTGAGATGAGATGCCTTAAATTCCTCTTTTGAGACGTCTCAGAAGTCCCCTCACCTGAACAGCCTCCCCGTGCCGTGTGACACCGATGTCCACAGTCTCGTGCATATCAACAGCGTTGTAATTCCCCATGCGCTGCGGGTAGTACTTGCCGTACAGGTACCCCCCGCAGATGTGCCGGAACTCGTCTGCGCGGACGAAGCGGTGCAGAGCGATGGAGCACACGAAGCGGATGTCGGTGATGCCCGCTGCCACGCAGTCCCTCTCCGCCTCCTCCAAGATCAGTTGCCGTAAGTCCGGGCGGCGCATGGGCGGCAGCGGCACGCTCACATCGTCAAACGCCATCAGGATCTGCCCAAGATCCAAGGGGGCGACCCAAGGTGGCGACCCAAGGGGGCGACCCAAGGGGGCGACCCAAGATCCAAGGGGGCGACCCAAGGGGGCGACCCAAGATCCAAGGGGGCGACCCAAGGGGGTGACCCAAGATCCAAGGGGGCGACCCAAGATCCAAGGGGTGAGAGTGGGGGAGGGGGGGATGGGGAGGTTGAAGGAAGGATGAGCCACGTGAAATGAGTGTATTTTTAAGACCGCCAGGGTGAGGGGGGGAGGGGAGGGGGGAGGGGGTGTGGGGAGGTTGAGGGGAGGATGAGTCCGGGAGAGAGGGGAGGGACGGTGGAGGAGGTGGGGGATGGTTGGGATGGGGATGTGGGGCGTTGTGCATGGGTGACATGACATGAGCGCCTAGTGCAGGGAGGCGTTGGAGATGGAGAGGTTAGGGAGTGCCATTGGGAGTGGACAGAAGAACGGAGCTGTCCTGTCAGCCAGAAAAGGCACCTGGAAAAGAGGGCAATCGAGACAATGGATTGCAGTAGCAACAGCAGCGGCAGCGGCAGCAGCAGCAACAGCAGCAACAGCAGCAGCAGCAGCGGCGGCGGCGGCAGCAGCAGCGCACCTTGGGGTTGGGATTGGCGTGCTTGATTTGCTGCAGTCTTTCCTTTAGCGGCGGCTGCCCCACAGGGTTGTCCAGAGCGTGCCGTATCATGGCTCGCATCTGCTCTGACGTGCACGTGGCCGTGCATGCCCGTGTGCGCACGTGACAAAGTAGGGGGAAGTGGGGAGAAAAGGGGGAAAGGAGGGGGGCAGAGTTGGAAGGCCAGCAAAGGAGAAGAGATGGTGAGGGGCGAAGCAGGGGCGGTTGGGAAGGCGGCAGGCATGCGGCAGGAAGCGATTAGAGCGGATGTGAGGCGTGGCAGGTGGATAGAGGAACAGCAGAGCAGAGCGCATGATCAGACATTCCAGCGAGCTGCAGGAGCAGGACAAGTGGATCCGTTTGGAGAAATCTCAAAAGTGACTCCCATGAGCGAGTGACAACTCGATCGGAAACAAATTGCGAGGAACCCATTGCAGGATGCATGTTGTGTGTGTGTGTGCGGGTGCACGAGAGGGAGGGAGTGCAATGCGTGAGGCGTGGCGTGGCACTGGCCTTGTTGGGGTTGGATTCGCCATCCTTGCACAGCCCAGGGTACACCACTCTTGTACCCTCGGGTAACTCCATCAGCTCCATCCTCTCGCCCGTTTGTAACAGAAATTTCTCACCCTGCGAGTCACGTAATGCCCATTTAACGTCATGCCACGTCAATGCCATGCCATACCCACGCCACGCCACGTCACGTCACACGGCACAACAAGGCAATGGATGGCACGCAGCAACAGAACGCTGTGTGGTGTTCAGCGCGAGAGGGCAGGCGTGCAGTAGTGCATGCACGTCACGATTGGCCATTGGCAGACACCAGTGCCACCCATGTACGTGCGTGGGATGATGTGCATAAGGACAGGTGCGGAAATGCACTCCCCGTCTCCACTCGAACCGTTGGAGACTTGTGGATCCGCTCAAAAGCCGCCCTTCATTCCATGCATCTTCTTCACCTGCCTCACTGCTTCGCCCTCACCATCCCACCTCCTCCCTTCGCCCCCCACCCACGTCCTCTTTTAACCCTATTCGAAGGCCCGTGGCGCACCTTTTTGGAGTAGAACACCTGCTGGGGCCGCTTGTGCGTCCCTGCCGTGTTCACCCAATCAGCAGGCGCCACGTCACCGCTCTCTGCTGCACGGCATGCGACGCTCATCCGTCTGTCCGCCTGCCTGCTGACGTTCCATGCCGTCCGTGAGCACGCGCGTGCGGAGGAACGCTCCCCCGAAGGCGACGAATGCGCGCGCTGTAGGGGGACAGGGAGGCGCCTGGCGGAGACCACGCGGAAACATGGCGCAGGCATGGTGGGATGACGTGGAGATGACGTGGCGCAAGAATATCGCTGAAGTGTCGGGAACGCACGGAGGGCTGTGGCCGGAATCCACGCACCTAAGTGGTGTAGCGAGCTGACGTGGCAAGAACGACGTGGCAAGCTCCGCATATCTCGCGGAGCGCAGACCTCGCGAACCACGCTGCAGCCGCAAGTCACGGGGGGGCTGTAGCCGTGTCAGCCCGCCCATCCCCACAGCAACGCGCGACGGCGTACCAGCGTGAATCGCGGGCGATGCGGCGTGCCGTGACATGCCAAGCCAATGCGGGCTGTTCTATCTAAAGACAGCACGAGGGAAAGGGGGCTGGTCACAGAAACGCAGGCCCTGTTCGACAGGCAACTAACTGAAGTCGCTCGGGTCGCTTGCCTAGGTTCCGAACCCAGGCACGGATCGGAAATGCTGCGCCGGCGTAGTCGCTGGCGACAATCACGCAATTATGCCCCACAACGACCACTGTTCCAGTGTTTTCAACAGTGATTTCTCCTGGGCGATCCACGGTCTGCAAAAAAAAAAACCAGCTGCTTTCGTGTGGCTGCAGGAAGAAAAAGGAATTTTTCAGGCCGTGAACACTGGTTTTTAGGACGGGCCACATTTGAGACATCTATCCTGTTGGGGATTCTGGGGTGTACAGTAATTCGTGATGTCTTGTTTCACTGTTTCGTTAATCTTGGCGAACAGTCAGAGAAGTCACTTAGGGCAATAGGTCTTCTAATGTAGATCTTTTAGCGCACTCAAATCAAGCGTATTGTGTTGAGAACTTTCAAAAACGTTTCTACCCCGCCTAATAAGGATCCTGAGGACGATCAGGACACATGTGGCTCGGAGAAGATCGATGCCCACATTTTCGATGTGTGACCCCGAACCTCCTTCGGTGTGTACAAATGTATGACATCCTTACTCTGAATATGGGCAGTTTGACGATGGAAAACCGTTCAGGTTCAGGTAGACTATCTATTACGAGTGCAATTGAGTGAACGAACGAGAATTGCACTATCGAAGCAAGAGTACAATGAGCGAAGGCATGAGCGAAGACTATATAGCGAAACTACAGTGGTAAGGGTAATGGACTGTGGTTGTCGCGTGACGGGCCTGGGACTGAGGTTGGGAAAAGTGTCGAAACGGAGGCCCGGAGCGCGGGTTACCCGCCGAGCCGTGAGGTGCTACAGTGGTGTACGCGCTGAGCGGGGACGCGAAGTAAGGAAAAGGAATTTTGCTTACACTACCCCCCCCCCCCCCCCCGCCCTAAGGAGGTCCTCCTTACGAAAGTGCGTGTACATCCCCGAAATTTCGGCTGCGCAGATACTCGGTGAGGACGGGGTGGTTTTCGATTCTGTCCAGGGGAACCCAATTGTCTTCGGTGGGTGTACGGTCCTTCCAGCGGAGCAAGAACTCGATCCTTCGAGCTCCTCGAGGGTCGCGAATTCTGTGACTCAGGATTTTCTCGGGGGTGATGATTGGTTCAGTTGGTGGTCTTGTCATGCTGGCTGGGCGATTGCGTGGCAGTTGGCTCGTGGACGGGACGTAAGGGCGAAGCAGGCTGACGTGGAATGAGGGGCTGATGTACCAGTCAGCAGGGAGGCGGGCCGCATGTGTACATGTTTTAGCATTTGCGCGTGTATCGGTCGAGTTTGGGTATTCAGATGTTCAAGCGGGATTCCAGCTTTTGCGTGTTTTTTGGTTTGGAGATCTCTGTTCGGGCAGCCTCCGTGTGTGCTAAGCTTGCACGCCCCGTGCACACCATGTGCCCCACACATGCCATTCAACCCATCCATCCCATGCATGTATGCCATGCGTCCCATGCAACCCTGCGTCCCCTGTCTCATGTGAGCAGGACTCAATGGCAGCGTTGGGCCATGGCGGAGAGCATGGAGTGCCGGCATTCATGCACCTCGCCAACATTGCAGCCGTGCATGAAGTCGTCCGCGCCTTCACCCAGCACCAACCACACACACACGCACACTCACATGCACACCCTCAGAGTCACCCCACCCACAGCGCCACTCCCCACAGCCATGCTCCCCATTCGGCTGCCACCCACCCACACGCTCCACACGCCCCTGTGCCTCCCGCCCAGCCTGCCCCTCCCCCTGTCGCCACCTCTCCCTTTACCGGCCAGTCCGCGCAGCGGCGGCGGCTGCACATCATAGCCGTTGGATTCTACGGCGGGTCACACTGGATCAACATCCTCATGCGCCTCGCCGCCCACTTCTCCACGCCGCCACTCCTCCCCACCACTGCCAATGACCTTCCGCCAAGTGGCGTCCCGGCGGGGGAAGCAGGGGCGGCACCGGGTGCAGCAGGTGACAACGCGATCGGTGCTCAGGGCGAAGCAGGGGCGTTTGGAGCAGGTTTATCTGAGGGAGGCGCAACCGCAGCAGGTGCGTCTGGTGGAGGCAGCAGCAGGTTTACCACCGCCGCTCCCTTCCCCACCTTCGCATCACCGCTCGTGAAAGTCTCGGCCATTGATTTCGGGGTGGTAAAAGTGGAGGAATTTCCGACAGGCCTGGTGCATCTGGGGAAGGAGTACCTGGAGCAGGTGGCATCTATGCTGGACCTCCCTCTCACCTTCCACGGCATAGAAACCACCCCCCAGGACTTCCACCCGTCACTAGTGGAGGTCGAACCAGGGGAGGAGATTGTAGTGCTGGCCAGTTGGGGCCTCATGGTCTTTCCAGACGACACAGTGCTTCGCTCCAACCCCCGCAACTCCATCCTCAAGTGGATCCGCGGGCTACGACCGTTGCTGCTCCTGCAGGTGGAGAACGACATCGACGCCAACGGGCCCTTCTTCCTCTCTCGCTTCCACGCTTCATTCATGAACTTTGCCGCGTTAGTTGAGTCCTTCGACTGCTCCATGCCGCACGCCGCCACGCCGCGCTTCGTCGCGGAAACCATTCTCGCGCGGGATTTTCTAAATGGGGTGGCATGCGAGGGCATGAACCGGTATGTGCGGTCGGAGCGGCTGGGCATGTGGGTGCATCGGATGAGAGCCGTGGGGCTGGATCTGGTGCCGATAGGGCCAGACACAGTGGCTGCTGGGAGGGAGGCCACAGAGGGCAGGGACAAGAGGTTCCGGCTGGAAGTGCATGCAGAAACCGGCGCCCTGCAGCTCAGCTGGCGTGGCGTGCCGTTGATCTTTATAGCCGCCTGGAAATGAGCCTGGAATTGGTCTGGATGCTCGCTGTGGCCGCCTGGAGATGAATCTGTGACCGATTCTTACGGCTGCTGTGCTCCACAACTTGGCGGAGCATTGGCAAGGGCAGCATAGCCAAGCTCAGGACCACCAAGGTAGGTTCAGGCCTTATCAAACCAGGGTAGGTTCAGGCCGGTTGATGTCCCTGTTCCTCCTATCCCCTGCATTTCAACGTCTTGCCCTATTTTTCTGCACATGTTTCTTGTGCTCAACGTTTTGCTCTTGCTTGTGCCTGTCCATCTTGCCTCCCTTCCGGCTTTTCTTTTTCCTTGTGGGAACTCCCACTTGAGTGTGTTGAATTGAGACTAAATTAACACGTGTACCGTATGGCCCCGGATATAAGCGCAGGCCTATTATAAGCGCATGCGCTTGTATCTGGAGCAATGCGCTTATGGCCGATCCTCATTTATAAGCGCACCCCCTGTAAAACCTTGATTTATTATAAGCGCACGTATAATTCTAAAATTTAAACCAGATTAAAACGGTAGCGATTTCAAATTTTGCAGTGAGGATACAACTATTTTCGCTTCGATTGACTTTCGAGGACCTCACATACTGCACGTCCAGTCAGTATGAGCTGGCATTTCTGATAGTGACGTGTAAATTTTCCCCTGTGCGCCGGCAGAAAATCGCTCACGCGCGAATCTGAATTGCGACTCGCTACCACTTCGATTCGATTGAAATCACAAGAAGGAGATGTACAGTTTGGTGCCAATGAATTATAAATTTGCATTTGTTGTTATATAAGCGCATGCGCTTACAAATCTGACTCAATTATAAGCGCACCCCCCCAAAAAACACTGTTTTATTATAAGCGCAGGTGCTCTTATATCCGGGGTATTACGGTACCATCCCAACTGTTGCTGCAGGTTCTATAAACGGTGCTATAAGTCTGTAAACCATCCCATGACAGAGTTGCATGTCAGAATCCCAACCACTAGACCATTGGGATAAAAAGGCTTGTTAAGTAGCGGGTCAGTGCGTCCATAACCCCCCAGACCAACATGCCTGTAACCCTTCCCTAGGATCAATCGAGGATCACCAGTGGACCTCTGACACTCCCCCGCACTGAGATGCCCGAGGTGCACACACTGGGATTCGAACCCGAGACCTTCGCTCTGATACCATGTCAGAATCCCACCCACTAGACCATTGGGATAAAAGTGTTTGTTAAGTAGCGGGTTAGTGCGCCCATAACCCCCCAGGCCAACATGTCTGTAGCTGCTCTGATACCATATTGGAAATAAGAAGTCGCTAGAGAGCAGCGGAAGCTCTAGGAATTAACGACGTCCCTACGGCGGGGCTATTGGTCACTCAGAGGTAGCTCTCCTGGCTTGTAACGTGGTGCCAAAGCAGCGGCCGAGGGTAGGCCGGACACAAGCTTGAGAATTGTGTAATATGAGCAAGGCATTACATTCTGTTATATAGCAAACGCATAGGGCAAACAGTTACCAAGGCGCAACTGTATAACAGTTGCGCTGCGTCGCTTGGGTTGCCTTGTTACAGTCGCGCTGGCGAGACTTTTCAGCTTCGGCAAGGGCGCGGTATCCTGCCGCGCCCCACAGGTCAGTTTCGCGTACTGTAGACGATGACTCCTGCTGTCGATTCGACTCTTGAGCTGCTACGCGGGTCTCTGCTGCTGCCGAATGTTGTATTGTTACTAACGCACGTGTTTGTTCTGCTTCAGGAATGGTATGTGAATACCAAAAGCCTTCCGGACTGAAGTCGGGGTCGAGATCCGGCGGGTGCGTCCAAGATGTGAAGGTGACGATCCCGTCACTGTCTGCGGTGCCCAGGTCTGGGACGAAATCGAGAACGAAGACATTGTTCTTCTGGACCGCCTTTCCGATGTAGAGGCCGCCCTTCCCGTGGTACAGCTTGAACTCCTGGGTGGTACTGTCGGCTTCCAGATGTATGCCTTTCGCCATCAACTGACTGACGCTCAGTAAGTTGTAGCCAAGTCCTTCTGCTATTAGGACTTTGGACATTTGCAGTATGACATTCGTCTCTCGTGACTGAAGTTGCACTACTCCTTGTCGTCGTGTGCGCAGGTTCTGATTATTGGCGACAGTGATGACGACTTCTCGTTGAAGTTGGTGCTCGCGTTGAACGAAACGTCCTGAAGAGCACATATGTTGTCCGCAGCAACTGTCCAAGAACCATGTATCCTTCCCGTTCTGTTCCGTTCCTCCAGCGCCTTTAACTCTCTGTCCATGGCTTAAAGCGCCTCTGTCGTGTCGAAACACCAAGGCACAAGCGAAGCAGAGCCTATCGAGGCACCAGCGAGTCAACCCTCGGAGGTTGAAGTAACCGCTGGAGGTTACGCGAAAGTCAAAGGTCAGCGACCTTTGACTTGACAAATGCAGCGCGACAGCAAGGACACACAACTGACTCGACATTGAGCAGTTGCCCGAGTCGCACTGTATCGAACCGCAACAGTAAAACAGTTTAATTATATCTCTTCGTATTCTTTGTACTCTTATATAAACCTTTGTACTTGCTTGTTTTAATCAACTTACTTTGCCCTCACATACCAGCGCAAGGTGGTTCAAGGACTTCATTTAAACGCTTCTGCTACTACATCACTCTACCCAGAGTTTAACCCTACCAAAGATCCTAAGGGGCACTCAGCCCAACAGCCCTTCCCTATGATCAATCGGGGATCATCAGTGGACCTCTGACATTGCATGATTAACAAAGTTGTGACCCATCTTTGGATCGACTTGGAAAACTCTTCACTGTCAATGGTGTCTTGAAATGTTGTTGACAAAAAAAAAAACATGAGTCGACGATATCGTCTTAGGGTTGCGGAGCTATGATTTGGGATATACCAAATTTCGATTTTTTTAGTTAATCTATAAAGACAATGTCTGATTTCCAGTAAAGAAGAAAGTTATTGATTACAAAAGCCACCTCAACAAAATTTTTACAAGTTACACGACACAAGTTGGTGCAATGTCGAAATCATCATCAAGCGAGATTCAAAACCGCATCTCCGGTTAACCGCATCTTACTCGCTGGGACAAAGACTAATGTTTATGTTAGTTGTTGAAACGTGTCTTTTTATGTTTACTGTGCGACACATTTTCATCTAGGGTTTCATTATGTCTCATTTTTCCTTTTCTCGTTCTGCTTGCGGGGAGCCCACAGCCCGCCCCTTTGTGGCGCTAGCTCACCTCAACTAGCTTCCTGTCCAGGTAAGATTCTCTTTGCTTGTGCCTAAGACCAACTCCGTGATTAGGTTACTACGTATGTTAGCTAGTTACACGTAACAGTCGTGTTAGGACCTGCTGCAGACTTCGACCTATTTAGTTTCCTAAACTTACGGTCGTGTTAGGACCTGCTGCAGATTTCGACCTATTAAGTTATGTTGGTTTATTGTCTAAAAACCCTTTCGAAGTTAGATTTCCTACCTTAACCGTCACTTCTTCCTTTCGTTTTATCTTCTAGTCCTCGATTTCTTCCACCGGAAGGTTATGCACTACCCTTCTGTTATCTCCTCTCTGCTTCTCTCCACTTCTTCCCATCTTCTGTTTTCTTCCGTTTCTCCTTTATTTTGATTTACATGTTACTTACTTGCTCTTCCATCTTTCAGTTAGATCTTTCCACACTCCTCCATTTTTTCCCGTTTCAGCTTCTTGTTCTAACTCTTGTTTTCTTCCCCACGCTGTTTCATGATTTTTTCCTCCTTGATTAAATTGATCTTCACGATTTTGCTCAGAGAGTTAGTTCCCTAGGTAGGAGCATATCTTCCTTCCATATTTTAATCGTCAGATTCCGTATCCATATCCGTTACTCTCTGGAAATTTCTCTCTGGTTTCTTCTCCTTGTTCATAACTCTTCATTTTTGTTGTTGTTTAAACTTTTTCTAATTTCCATTTCTTTCTCTGCACACTAGTATACATCTTGTGTCATTCTCTGTTATTTCGAATAACATGCACTCTCTTTTTCCACTGCAAGTTTTTCTCGCTGTTTTCCTTAGTACGGGGTTTGTAATATTCTGATTTTCTGACTTGAAGTTTTGACTGTCTTTTATGCCATCTTCATTTTCTCAGCTTTGTTTCTCATAAACTTGAAATCCTTCTATTCCGTCTTTTTCTTTGCACTATGTGCTTTCTGTTTATTGCAGAAACTGACTTATACGGGGGATGGAAGGGAATGTCTCGTACAAACAACCCATAGTGCAATTGTGTGATTGGTTTATATTCGAGTAACTGTTCAATCTGTTTCATTTTCGTTTGTTGGACTACGCTATTTGTTGCAATTGTAATGCATGTCTGCATGTTTCAAAAATATATCTCGCCGGTCATTGTCACAAAAGGTTCAGTGGTGTACCACTATCAAAGTGAAGCCATTTTGAGCTGGACTTGATCGGTGTAGATATTGTTTTTGGGATTTGCAGACTGTATTGCTTTGTTAGAACAATTCCAACTTTTATACTGCTGGCTTCCCCCCCATGCTAGGCTGGGGAAGCGGTAGTATAAATTGTGAAATTGAGAAAGCTTGCTTTCTTATTCTTATCAATTGGCATCGTTCTCATTACAAATGGCTTATTACAACATTTGCATCAACGTTGAACACAAGCTAGTGCAATCGAATGACACTAGCTAAGATGTACCCTATCCAAGTGGCATTAGCAAGGCGGTTTATTCTGGGGTGGGTGGTGGGAATGTTGAGTGAGCCGTTTGAAAATCGAGAAACGTGGGTGGAGGGAAATGAACTCCAACCCACGGTTTTTGTAGTTGGAGAAGGGCGTTTAGCGCGCTTCGACGATGCCATTTGTGCAGTACAAGCAGGTTCGCTTTCACAATGCACAATTTTAAAAATCACAATGTGTGTTTAAAAAATATAATATTGAGAAAGCTTGCTTTCTTCTTCTTATCAATTGGCATCGTTCTCATTACAAATGGGGTCTGTGAGACATGGGTAGCGGGGGCCTCTGGTTGCGTACGAGTGCCTCTGTG